CTACTCGAGCCTCGTCTCGTGTGCCGCCTCGTGGGGCGGCGTGGCGTGGCGGGCGGCTGTCTCTGCCACCGCCTCGAGTGAGCCTCGTCTCACTCTTCGTCTACTCGAGCCTCGTCTCGTGTGCCGCCTCGTGGGCGGCGTGGCGGGCGGCTGTCTCTGCCGCCGCCTCGAGTGAGCCTCGTCTCGCTCTTCGTCTACTCGAGCCTCGTCTCGTGTGCCGCTTCTTGGGCGGCGTGGCGTGGCGGGCGGCTGTCTCTGCTGCCGCCTCGAGTGAGCCTCGTCTCGCTCTTCGTCTACTCGAGCCTCGTCTCGTGTGCCGCCTTGTGGGCGGCGTGGCGGGCGGCTGTCTCTGCCGCCGCCTCGAGTGAGTCTCGTCTCGTGTGCCGCCTCGTGGGCGGCGTGGCGTGGCGGGCGGCTGTCTCTGCCGTTGCCTCGAGTGAGCCTCGTCTCGCTCATGGTCTACTCGAGCCTCGTCTCGTGTGCCGCCTCGTGGGGCGGCGTGGCGTGGCGGGCGGCTGTCTCTGCCACCGCCTCGAGTGAGCCTCGTCTCACTCTTCGTCTACTCGAGCCTCGTCTCGTGTGCCGCCTCGTGGGCGGCGTGGCGGGCGGCTGTCTCTGCCGCCGCCTCGAGTGAGCCTCGTCTCGCTCTTCGTCTACTCGAGCCTCGTCTCGTGTGCCGCTTCTTGGGCGGCGTGGCGTGGCGGGCGGCTGTCTCTGCTGCCGCCTCGAGTGAGCCTCGTCTCGCTCTTCGTCTACTCGAGCCTCGTCTCGTGTGCCGCCTCGTGGGCGGCGTGGCGTGGCGGGCGGCTGTCGCTGCTGCCGCCTCGAGTGAGCCTCGTCTCGCTCTTCGTCTACTCGAGCCTCGCCTCGTGTGCCGCCTCGTGGGCGGCGTGGCGTGGCGGGCGGCTGTCTCTGCCACCGCCTCGAGTGAGTCTCGTCTCGCTCTTCGTCTACTCGAGCCTCGTCTCGTGTGCCGCCTCGTGGGCGGCGTGGCGGGCGGCTGTCTCTGCCGCCGCCTCGTGTGAGCCTCGTCTCGCTCTTCGTCTACTCGAGCCTCGTCTCGTGTGCCGCCTCGTGGGCGGCGTGGCGGGCGGCTGTCGCTGCCGCCGCCTCGAGTGAGCCTCGTCTCGCTCTTCGTCTACTCGAGCCTCGTCTCGTGTGCCGCCTCTTGGGCGGCGTGGCGGGCGGCCGTCTCTGTCGCGGCCTCGAGTGAGCCTCGTCTCGCTCTTCGTCTACTCGAGCCTCGCCTCGTGTGCCGCCTCTTGGGCGGCGTGGCGGGCGGCTGTCTCTGCCGCCGCCTCGTGTGAGCCTCGTCTCGCTCTTCGTCTACTCGAGCCTCGTCTCGTGTGCCGCCTCGTGGGGCGGCGTGGCGTGGCGGGCGGCTGTCTCTGCCGCCGCCTCGAGTGAGCCTCGTCTCGCTCTTCGTCTACTCGAGCCTCGTCTCGTGTGCCGCCTCTTGGGCGGCGTGGCGGGCGGCTGTCTCTGCCGCCGCCTCGTGTGAGCCTCGTCTCCCTCTTCGTCTACTCGAGCCTCGTCTCGTGTGCCGCCTCGTGGGGCGGCGTGGCGTGGCGGGCGGCTGTCTCTGCCGCCGCCTCGAGTGAGCCTCGTCTCGCTCTTCGTCTACTCGAGCCTCGTCTCGTGTGCCGCCTCTTGGGCGGCGTGGCGTGGCGGGCGGCTGTCTCTGCCGCCGCCTCGTGTGAGCCTCGTCTCGCTCTTCGTCTACTCGAGCCTCGTCTCGTGTGCCGCCTCTTGGGCGGCGTGGCGGGCGGCCGTCTCTGCCGCCGCCTCGAGTGAGCCTCGTCTCGCTCTTCGTCTACTCGAGCCTCGTCTCGTGTGCCGCCTCGTGGGGCGGCGTGGCGTGGCGGGCGGCTGTCTCTGCCGCCGCCTCGTGTGAGCCTCGTCTCGCTCTTCGTCTACTCGAGCCTCGCCTCGTGTGCCGCCTCGTGGGGCGGCGTGGCGTGGCGGGCGGCTGTCTCTGCCTCCGCCTCGAGTGAGCCTCGTCTCGCTCTTCGTCTACTCGAGCCTCGTCTGGTGTGCCGCCTCTTGGGCGGCGTGGCGGGCGGCTG